GGCTGTGCCTGTGCCTGTGCCTGTGCCTGTGGCTGTGGCTGTGTCTGTGGCTGTGGCTGTGGCTGTGGCTGTGGCTGTGGCTGTGTCTGTGGCTGTGGCTGTGGCTGTGGCTGTGGCTGTGGCTGTGGCTGTGCCTGTGCCTGTGCCTGTGGCTGTGGCTGTGGCTGTGCCTGTGGCTGTGGCTGTGGCTGTGGCTGTGGCTGTGCCTGTGCCTGTGCCTGTGGCTGTGGCTGTGGCTGTGGCTGTGGCTGTGGCTGTGCCTGTGCCTGTGCCTGTGGCTGTGCCTGTGCCTGTGGCTGTGGCTGTGGCTGTGGCTGTGGCTGTGGCTGTGGCTGTGCCTGTGCCTGTGCCTGTGCCTGTGGCTGTGGCTGTGGCTGTGGCTGTGGCTGTGGCTGTGGCTGTGCTGTGGCTGTGGCTGTGGCTGTGCCTGTGCCTGTGCCTGTGCCTGTGCCTGTGGCTGTGGCTGTGGCTGTGGCTGTGCCTGTGCCTGTGCCTGTGGCTGTGCCTGTGGCTGTGGCTGTGGCTGTGGCTGTGGCTGTGCCTGTGGCTGTGGCTGTGCCTGTGGCTGTGCCTGTGCCTGTGCCTGTGGCTGTGGCTGTGGCTGTGCCTGTGCCTGTGCCTGTGGCTGTGCTGCTGTGGCTGTGGCTGTGGCTGGCTGTGGCTGTGGCTGTGCTGGCTGTGCTGGCTGTGCTGTGCCTGTGGCTGTGGCTGTGCTGTGCTGTGCTGTGCCTGTGCTGTGGCTGTGCTGTGCTGTGCTGTGGCTGGCTGCCTTGTGGCTGTGCTGTGCCTGTGCCTGTGTGCTGTGTCTGTGACTGTGGCTGTGGCTGTGGCTGTGGCTGTGGCTGTGGCTGTGGCTGTGCCTGTGGCTGTGGCTGTGTCTGTGACTGTGGCTGTGGCTGTGGCTGTGGCTGTGGCTGTGTCTGTGACTGTGGCTGTGGCTGTGGCTGTGGCTGTGGCTGTGGCTGTGCCTGTGCCTGTGGCTGTGGCTGTGTCTGTGGCTGTGGCTGTGGCTGTGGCTGTGGCTGTGGCTGTGGCTGTGGCTGTGGCTGTGGCTGTGCCTGTGCCTGTGCCTGTGGCTGTGGCTGTGGCTGTGCCTGTGGCTGTGGCTGTGGCTGTGGCTGTGGCTGTGCCTGTGGCTGTGGCTGTGGCTGTGCCTGTGCCTGTGCCTGTGGCTGTGGCTGTGCCTGTGGCTGTGGCTGTGGCTGTGCCTGTGGCTGTGGCTGTGGCTGTGGCTGTGGCTGTGCCTGTGGCTGTGGCTGTGGCTGTGGCTGTGGCTGTGCCTGTGCCTGTGCCTGTGGCTGTGGCTGTGGCTGTGGCTGTGGCTGTGGCTGTGGCTGTGCCTGTGGCTGTGGCTGTGGCTGTGCCTGTGGCTGTGCCTGTGCCTGTGCCTGTGGCTGTGGCTGTGCCTGTGCCTGTGCCTGTGGCTGTGGCTGTGGCTGTGGCTGTGGCTGTGCCTGTGGCTGTGGCTGTGGCTGTGCCTGTGGCTGTGCCTGTGCCTGTGCCTGTGGCTGTGGCTGTGGCTGTGCCTGTGCCTGTGCCTGTGGCTGTGCCTGTGGCTGTGGCTGTGGCTGTGGCTGTGGCTGTGGCTGTGCCTGTGCCTGTGCCTGTGGCTGTGCCTGTGGCTGTGGCTGTGGCTGTGCCTGTGCCTGTGGCTGTGGCTGTGGCTGTGGCTGTGCCTGTGGCTGTGGCTGTGGCTGTGCCTGTGCCTGTGGCTGTGTCTGTGACTGTGGCTGTGGCTGTGGCTGTGGCTGTGGCTGTGGCTGTGCCTGTGGCTGTGGCTGTGTCTGTGGCTGTGGCTGTGGCTGTGGCTGTGGCTGTGGCTGTGTCTGTGACTGTGGCTGTGGCTGTGGCTGTGGCTGTGGCTGTGGCTGTGGCTGTGGCTGTGCCTGTGGCTGTGGCTGTGTCTGTGGCTGTGGCTGTGGCTGTGGCTGTGGCTGTGGCTGTGTCTGTGGCTGTGGCTGTGGCTGTGGCTGTGGCTGTGGCTGTGCCTGTGCCTGTGGCTGTGGCTGTGGCTGTGGCTGTGCCTGTGGCTGTGGCTGTGGCTGTGGCTGTGGCTGTGCTGTGGCTGTGGCTGTGGCTGTGCCTGTGCCTGTGCTGTGTGTGCCTGTGGCTGTGGCTGTGGCTGTGGCTGTGCTGTGGCTGTGGCTGTGCTGTGGCTGTGCCTGTGGCTGTGGCTGTGGCTGTGGCTGTGGCTGTGGCTGTGCCTGTGGCTGTGCCTGTGCCTGTGGCTGTGGCTGTGGCTGTGCCTGTGCCTGTGGCTGTGGCTGTGCCTGTGGCTGTGCCTGTGGCTGTGGCTGTGCCTGTGGCTGTGCCTGTGGCTGTGCCTGTGCCTGTGCCTGTGCCTGTGGCTGTGGCTGTGGCTGTGGCTGTGGCTGTGCCTGTGGCTGTGCCTGTGGCTGTGGCTGTGGCTGTGGCTGTGCCTGTGGCTGTGGCTGTGCCTGTGGCTGTGGCTGTGGCTGTGCCTGTGCCTGTGGCTGTGGCTGTGGCTGTGGCTGTGGCTGTGCCTGTGCCTGTGCCTGTGGCTGTGCCTGTGCCTGTGGCTGTGCCTGTGCCTGTGGCTGTGGCTGTGCCTGTGGCTGTGGCTGTGCCTGTGCCTGTGCCTGTGGCTGTGCCTGTGGCTGTGCCTGTGCCTGTGCCTGTGCCTGTGGCTGTGGCTGTGGCTGTGGCTGTGGCTGTGCCTGTGGCTGTGCCTGTGGCTGTGGCTGTGGCTGTGCCTGTGGCTGTGGCTGTGGCTGTGCCTGTGCCTGTGGCTGTGGCTGTGGCGGGTGGGACTGTCTGCTCTGAAGCATTGTTGTTGTTGGGGGTGAACCTCTGTGTTCTACAGTTTTCAGCTCGGGGTGGCTATCCAACAGCGCTGTAGCCTTTTCTTTGCCTTTAAAGCGTACACGTCCATACAAATAGACGCCATTGCCATTCGTCCAACAACAGTGATTCCTGTTTCAGCTCTGGTTCGTGTGTTTCGGCTCTTGGATGAGTATTGCCCGAGCCGCGGAGCAGGGCCTGTCGCCTGGGCTTGGTGCAGCTGCAGACAAAAGCCCTCCGCAGAGGTATGTAGCCTGTATGCTTTTTCTCTGGGTATATCCGTGCAGTTATAGTCACTTTTATACGGTTTGCATTCATCTTACTGGAGCTGTACAATTTCAAGAGCTTTGTTGTTGTGGTTGACGCCATTTGAACTGGGCGGCTAACTAGCGTTTCCACATTATTATATACCTATTGTGTTGTAGGCCGTTTTCCTCATTAAAAATCCATCTGTTAATCTTTGGAGCTAATGTATAGTCTAACATCATCTGGGCAGTGAGTGACCTCCCACAGGTTTAAATGTCCATCGACCAGCCCCTAAAAGTAACATAACATTGACTGCTGCATTGTCTGTATTTCACATATCTGGATCATTTCAAATGGAACTATTCTCTCTCACTTTAAGGCTGATTGTCAACACTGTCTTCTTTTTAATGTTACGGCTAATTATAAATTTAGTGTAATTCTAAAGCACATGATTTAGTTTTACACAGTTGGGTGAAAGGATGCTACTTATTCCATTCACCCATGGTAAGGCAAAGGAAGTGTATTTGTAGAGTACAATGCATACACTAATCAACACAAAGTGATTTAAAGGAGCATTGACATCATACAGGTAAAACCATAAATGATCGCACAACATACATTTAAGATAATCATATGCTCTCTTTGTTTATTGTCTGTTCTGGTGCTCTGCATTGACTACAACAAAATGCAGGGCTTTTTGTAATTGTGGCAATATATATCAGCTTTGGGTTTATTTGAAAATGCATTAAGTGGCACAAAAGTACATAATAGATGCAAGTACATAGGACAATACTTCAATAAAGTTTCAGGACATTTTGCCTTATTTTTTCTTTGTGGTCTAGTCCTTGAAGAGCATTTTGACCAATTTGTGAAGCTATTTCCATTAACTGACACATTTAATTTTAAGTTTTGTGGCATTCAGGTTGCTCTTCTTTAAGATAAGATAAGATAAGAATTCCTTTATTCGTCCCACAGTGGGGAAATTTCGATGTTGCATCGCACATATAGGACAGTAGTAAGAGCACACAGGGATCACACACAATATATACAAATAAGTAGTAGCTATGTTTCTTAACTAACATAACTAGCTGTAGATGCTGAAAATGCTTCGATACCAGTCAAAATATGGAGATAGGAGAGGCCTAATGTAATACTGCAATATTCAGGTACTTGTTTCTGATTTTAGCAACATGTTTTTCTTCTTGAAACACAAGCAGACATAATTTGTGTTTGCATTGCAACAATTTCTTATAATCTCTTAAGACGAGTTGTCTGGCTCCTGCACTTCAATCATGACTTTTGTTTTTGTACCATGGTAAAATAAGATTTGACCATATTTCCTCAGGCAGTACTGGGCAGCTAACTGCTCAACTACTACCAGGTGTTTTCTCCGGGTGCTCCGGTTTCCCCACCACTAAAAACATACATAATAGGTATGAATGTAATGAGAGAGTGAATGGATGGTGTTGGTTGGGGCTTTGATGCGCCAGTGTGTTCGGCGACTCGCTTCTGTCATCCCCGTGTGTGGAGAGAATTGGAATAACTATCTGAACTCTGAACAAATGTAAAGCGCTTTGGGTGACCTTGGTCTGTAAAATGCCCTATATAAATAAACCTTACCTTACCTTACCACTCAATCCATGGTCTCCTGTCCTTGTCCTGTTCCATTAAGTAATGCAAACATAAATGACTATGCAGGCTCACATTTGTTTTTGTCTACTTTGTTTACAGCAACACGGACTGTCGAAAGCATGAGGAAGAGAGTCCGGCCACCCCGGGCTGCGGCTCCACCGAGGCCCCCTTCTCCCATCAAACCTTCTCCCAACAAACAAATTCTCACATATGAACAGGCCCAGCGCATGGTGGAGTTTGAGGTGGATGGAAGATTGCACAGAATCAGCATATTTGACAAACTGGAGATCATCACAGATGAGGAGCCCCTGTTGCAAGAGATGATAGAGTGCACGAGTAACAAAGAAAATGCTAATAAACCACAACACGTTCGTTTGAGGTCTGTGCGGTTAAAACACAACCAGGAGAAAAGAAATGCAGCTTTGGGAGTCAACTGTCATGGAGACGGTGATGAACAACCACCAGTTCTACTACCACCTCCTGGACCCAAACTGCCTGAACCTCTATTTCGTGCAGTTGAATATAACGTCCCAGCCGTTCGTCAGCGCCCTGCTGCATACTACAAATACTGTGAAAAAACCGATGAAGAGTTGGATGAAGAAACAGAGTACGACATGGACCAGGAGGACTACGCTTGGCTCGATTTGGTCAATGACAAACGGCGAAGTGAGGGCATCAGTCAGGTGTCCTACAATGTCTTTGAGTTCTTAATTGACCGCTTCGAGAAGGAGTCGTATTTGTGTTTGGACCAAGACAGTGAAATCCTTATTCCTTTAGACGCGAGCTCAGTGTGTTGTATTTGCATGCTGGGAGAGGTGCATGATGTCAGTACCCTTCTGTGTTGTGCTATGTGTAGCATCGCTGTGCATAATGATTGCTACGGCGTTCGATACGTTCCAGAAGGCCAATGGTTGTGCCGCCACTGCGTCGAGTCCCCGAACCAGCCAGCAGACTGTGTCTTATGTCCCAACACAGGTGGGGCAGTGACAAAGACGGACAAAGTCAGTTGGGGGCATTTGGTTTGTGTGCTGTGGATTCCTGAAGTGGAGTTTTCCAATATGCCTTCCGATAACAAACCTATAGACATGGTCAGCCAAATCCCTTCAACTCGATGGAAACTCACATGCTACCTCTGTAAAGAAAAAGATGTTGGCGCGTGCATCCAGTGTCACAAAGTCAACTGTTACACAGCGTTTCATGTAACCTGTGCCCAAAAGGCTGGTCTCTATATGAAAATGGAGCCAGTCAAAGAAGAATCAAAAGACACAAGAGACGGCAACTTTTTTACGAATAAAACTGCTTACTGCAGCTCACACACACCTCCCGGATGTTTAAGAAGGCCACTGAATATATACAATGACATCAAACCAAAAAATGGGTTGTGTAAGCAGTACGACCAATGTCACTCTAATGGAAATCTGAAAAAGAAGAGTAAAAACATGGATTTTGAAATGGATAGTGAAGTTGAAACTCCTGCCAGACATGTGCCTTTATTTCCCACTCACAGGTACAGCAAAAATATCCACTAACATATGTGCAATATCGTCAACATTACTCTCCGGTTTCACATTAATATTACAATAATTACCACATTTTCTGCTTTTTATGTTCTAGTCACAATAATTAAGCTTAACTTGTGAATTTGTGAAAGCATTGTTGCACTGTCAGGATAGTAAACATAAAACTATGTATGCTCTGCAGTGACAGCCCGAGCTTTGTTTAAATACATACATTATACGGAACTGAATAAATCACCCATATACACTTAAGATAGAGTACCTAACTGGTTCAGTAATATATTCTGTGTGTCCTAATCCACTTGAGTTATAAAGCAAATTTTATAAAACAAGTTACCAACGTGCTGCACAGAGACAGAAGTTACACATTTAAATATACAATTACTTTTTATTGAATTACTTTATTCATTTAACTGGGACAGTAGATGTCAATTATCATAAATGGTTGAACATATTATATTTTGTACGGCCTCCTAAATGTGTGCTCATGTTTTTCCAAATGCTGATCTATACAATCTGTGAGTTATGGTCAACTTTCCTCTGGTTCCTTCAACTGATTTTTGTGTTACAGGTTACAAACTATACTCAACCTGGTGTCTGTTCAGAAGAAGAGGGCCTTTGTTGAGCTCGCCTTGAATTACTGGACACTGAAGAGAGAGTCCAGGAACAACCTCCCCCTCATCCAACGATTCCAGACAAGCCTGCAGTCCAAGAAGAATGCTCATCCGGTTTGTCCATCCGTCAGTCCACATCACTCCATTTACTTTTATTCTTATAGTTTAGAACATAAGATAAGATAAACTTTATTGTTCCCAGGGGAAAGTTTCTGTGGGATACAGTGCTACACAGACCTGCATGATTGAATAAAAAAATAAAAAGGAAAATTACAGCAAAATACATGAACAGAAGTCTGTTTAAGCTTTGAAGTGTCTGTCTGGTCCAATGCTAGCCTGGTGTCTCAGCCCTAAAGGGACATCCTGGGGGCAGGGTCTTGTATTTTGCATTCCTCATATAGGATGTGTAAACAGACGTTACTCAGTTGTCAATTTGTCATCAACAAATCAGAGAATAGAGCATTATAATCTACTGTGTGACTGGAGTGTATTTGGTGAACAAGTGAATTACACAAGCTTGTTTGGTTGGCAAACTAGAATGCACTTTCAATTGCCCGTTGGAGTGAGGCAAGTGCAGTACGAAACGGTAATACTATTGCAACTATAGAGTAAAACTAACCTGGATGGGCTGAACATTGATAGGATAGACAACAAATGTTGTCGATATAAAAATGGCAATTAGTCTCAGTGGGTATTGTTGACATCATGGAAAAAAATAAGGCATTTTCTTTATGGGAATTTAATCTATGGCATTACAATTATTGTGGACATATCAAGAATTAAGTTTGAACACCAATGCTTTCTTGAAATAACGGTTTTCAGGAAACACAAATAACTTTGAAAATACACTCACACATAGACTAAAAATATTCTGGGACACAGTTTGCTGACTTCTGATACACAATATAACGCGTGGTATATCAGCAGAAAAAATAAACAGGAAAACACCTACCGAACATATTGTAAAATACATCAGAGGGGACTTTTTTAAACAACATTTTCTTTTTCAGAAATGTGACAATGATGAGAGCAGAACTCTTAAAGACCAACTAAAGAAGTGGCATCGTCTCAGGCATGACCTGGAGAGAGCGCGGCTCTTACTGGAACTCATCCGAAAGAGGGAGAAGATCAAGAGAGAAGAGGTATTTGTATTGGGAAAATTAAAGTAGCAATATGTAGGATTTTCATGTCATCATTAAATGGCCCTAATATGTCAAAGATATTATTAAACCTTGCTCTTTTCAAATGCTTCTTTAACAGATAACAGTACCGAAAGTTCAGCCGAGATTTTTGAATTTCAAAATGAGTTTTACAGCCCCGAAATCTTGTTATTGTTCTTATTTTGATTTCCCGCTCTCCATCGTTTTACCAATCAGAAAGTCTATGATCCGGGTTGCCAGAACTGGCCTTTTCGAGCCAAGTACCATGGGGCCGCAGAACTAAAAAGGTCTAATTACGATTTATCAAATCATGTTCTCAGCTGGATTTGTCTGCATATCTGGCAACCTGCATCAGGGAGAGTGGGAGAGCTTTTGGCCAGATTGTTACATACTGCTTCTTTAAGGACGCAAGTCTTCAATTATGTTGCCTGACCAAAGGTGTTATGTAATGTACAAGAACACTTATATTGGAGAGTTTCTGTCAGAAATGAGGCTGTACAAAATGATTTATTTAGTAACTTAATTGGTTGTGATTATTATGAGACGTAGGACAAATCTACTGTGTTTTACCAGTTTTGACTTGAATTTGTAATTATTTTTTTCAATATTCAAGTTGAGTTTTTCTCTTAAAAATCATTTTTAAGAGTCATTTTAAAATATCACCAGGTTAGCTAGTTCAGGACTGCTTGTAATGTGTAAATCTCAGTGCATGACAACAGTCCACTGTCACAGACTTCTCTGATACATGATTGTACCTGGATGTTTCTAAGATAATGCTTTTTTGATCAGAACAGTCACATTTACAGCGTTTGTTGGAAATACATTTGAACAAAATTGATAGTAATCGTTTGTAGTGCACTCTTACAACCAGGGCCTCCAGGTTTTTGTCAGGGGCACAGCTGAGGGATTATGTTGAGGTTTGTATGATAATGTTTGTGATCAAAAATCGAAGCACTTTGGGTTACACTGTATGAAGTACGCTTTATAAATCCATTTGATTGATTGATTGAAACTGAAAGCATTTCTTGTGTGTTTCAGATTAAGATTCAGGAAAGCCTTTTGGAGATGCAGTTGACTCCTTTCAGTATTTTCCTCAGAGGGGTTTTGAACCAGCTGCAAACTAAAGACCAAGCAAGAATCTTTGCCCAACCTGTTGATGTCATAGAGGTACTGCCAATTGATCTTTTTATTTTACCAGGACTTAGCCCATAATCACTTCACAAGGATCTGATGCTAGCACTTGATTATTGCCGGCCACCTCGAGCTTTTGGAACTCTTTTTCCAAGAAAAGGGTTAGGGTTGTGGCCCATAGTAATAGTAATATTTACCCAAGAGTTATGTTTTAATTCAAAATATGATTTTGAAACTTTAGAAACCACAAACCATGTACTGTGGTCCTGTGTGTAGGACCACACATATGGTGCAGTGTGAGACCCCCTCGTCCGCACTTCAGATACACTGAAGTGGCAGCGAGTGTGAGCCAGGAGTAAGATGTAAAAAAATGACACCTTCAATTCACACTTGCAGAATTCCAGAAATATTTGAATTATCTGTTTTTCCTGGTTTAATCCACAGTATTTGTGGTCAAGAACAATGGATCAGAGTAAATCAAGAAATAATAATAGTTTGTGTGGGGTCTGTTTATTAGTTTTATTGTATTGTTTTATTCATGTACTCATTAGGTGCCGGATTACCTTGACCACATTAAACACCCCATGGACTTCTCCACTATCCGGCAGCACATTGACGCCCAAATCTACAGAGATTTTAGTCAGTTTGAAGATGACTTTAACCTGATTATTGACAACTGCCTCAAGTACAACCCGAAGGACACTTACTTTCACCGTGCTGGTGTCCGGCTGAGGGATCAGGGGGGAGTCTTGCTGAGAAAAGCCCGGCGGGACCTGGAGACGATCGGTTTGGATCCTGAAAGTGGCCTGCATTTGAATGAAGCTCCAGAAGTAAAAACAGCCCCTAGATTCTCCTGGGAAGATGGTAAGTGAAAAGTAACATAAAGTGCATAAAGGATTGAGATGTCGTTAAGAGAAACCAAACAAAAAAAGGGCCCTTGGAAGATTGCAATTTCTGAATATTATTTAGGAGTAATCAAATATGTACTTCAAATATGTTTTGACTTATGTCTTACACAAAGTGAGGGACAAATGTGAGGTAAAATAAAAATGTCCATGATATATGAATACTTTTCAAGGCACTATAATACAGTACAATAATACAATAATAGATATATGTATTATTTGTCTGTAGCCTGTGTTATTATTGGATAACCGTATGGCACACTCCAAAATGCACCAATAAACAACATTTGTTTGAAAAAATAATATACACATAATTTCCTGTGGAAAATGGGGGGTATGAATAGATGACTTATAATATTAGATTTTCATTTATGGTCCTCCTTTAGAAAATTTCTTGTTTAGATTAAAGGAGCTATACCCGTTTCTACAATGCACCGCCCCCAACACGCTCACAGGCTTCTCATTTCCCCTGCGCTCTCATCCCACGGAGCCATCTAGTTTTATTTGCGATCTGAAACATATGCTAACATTAGCATGAGCGCAACTTAAGCTGTACAAAAATCACTGATGAAATGGTACAAAAGCAACGCACTGCTAACACAATATATAACTTAAAGATTACCGCTAGTTCGCCGTTCAAATGTAGTCCGTGGCAGTCCTGCAGGTCTCTCCCATAGACAAGTCTCTCCAGAGGACACAATGTAAGCTAGCTTTGTTCACCTGGGCTTGATTTTTTCTTTGATCTTTTTTTCGCTTTATTTCCCTCTTCTCTTCCTCACTGTTGTGTCGTTTGGGCTGTTTTGCTGTGTATACAGTTACAGCAAGAGGAGCAATTCTGCTAACATGCTACTGTGTTTAGCAGTGCTGTAGATGCTAGAGGACGCCGCCTCGTTCTGTGAGTGGAGGAGAGCCAGCGGCCCGCTAAAAGTTATCTCAGCACTTTGAATGGCCTAAACTCATGCTTATGCTGAATCAATGAGCTCCAGTTTTCAATTAAATTACAGTTTTCAATACAACTTGTATTTAGTTTTACGGATTTTTATTAACTCAATAGGAGAAAAAATTGGGTATAGCTTCTTTAAGACAAGAAAATTGCACTAGTACTGTGGATATTGATATAAAATTATACTGGAATACAGAGAATTGCACGTAATGTCATATTAGCTATAAACCACTGCTTTGTTGTCAGTCGACAGTGTACTTGCCCCAGCGAGCCGAGCTCATCTCCCTCTGGAAAAGCAGCTGCATCAGTTACTGGAGAAGTTTGATCTGACCGTTGCCATGAAGTCAAGTCCTTCTCGCAGCAAACGACTCAAGCTCCTCAAAAAGACCATCAACGACGTGAGGAATGAGATGAGTCTGAAGACAGTCCAGCTTTGTAATCGCCACAGCTCTGCTAACACATCGTCCTCAGGCTCCTCGGAAAAGCCTTCAGAAGAACCTTTAAAACTGAACGGGAATTACACAGATGAAGAAGGTACAGTAAAATATTAGCTGTGCTCGCCTACAAATGTGATTACATCTCAAAATCCTCATATGAACAATTGTTTTTTGCATTTGTAACATATCCTAAACAAAGAAAGAGACAAACAAATGTTTATCTGAACTTAGTTTATCTTAAATACAATATAAAGGTTAACATTTAGAATAAAAACATTTAGAAGTTAATTTTTGTTTGTAATCAAACTTAAAATGAGAAATATGTATATGATATACACTCATTACATGCAGAGTTACATAAGCATGTGCGTGTTCTGATGTTGATGATCAATGCTTATCTAATTTTTGGATTTGTTTTATTCATGTTTTTTACAAACTGGAAACAATTATCAACATCATAACAAAATAACAGCTTGATATACTGTATGTCTTTGTGTGTAATGAGTCTGCCATATTTTGATTTAAATTGTAAGTTGAATTACAGAAGTAATTCAAATTAATAATAAGATAAACTATTGTTATAGATAAAATAAGGAAAGATCCACAAGCATAAAGGCAAAATAATTTAATTAAATAAAGCCCACAAAGAAAACATAACCAAAAGTGAAAACTGAAGCCAGAAACTAGAAATGGACATTTTTAAATTCTAAGGACCAAGACGTGGGAAACTAGAAGTCTATAAACACTCTAATAATCTGAATTATATACATATTATCTTCAGTTGAAATTACTATTATGATTCTCTTAACGTGTGCTCTAATAATGTTCTTTTGTTTTCACAGTAGATAAATCTCTTCCTCCAAAACTAGAGCTTTCCAATTCCATACCTCCCCTCATCCATTCAGAAGCGCACCAAGAGCCTCCAACTCTCAAACCCATTCACTTAGAACAAGATTGTGACAAAAGACGAAGCCAGCAATCGATATTTGATGGAGGACTCCCAAACTTGCTTTCTGCCCCTTGCCTAAATGAGCACTCTCTTGAGGCGTCACTATTTCACAGACACGCCTGTCTTTTGGAAACATCTGCAGTTGGAGAGCCCATGTACGCTGTCAGCCGTCGCACTGCGGTTTTGTTTCAAAAATCAAAGGTCACTAGTCCTCAGAAACTCCTTACAAGTGAAGAGGTCATGTCTGATGGAAGCAATGGCATCGAGAGAGAAGAGGGGTCAGACGAAGACTCGGGCTCCACGTCCATAATGTCGGTGGTTATTCCGAGGCTGGAAAACCTCCTTCACAGAAAGAGGAAGCACAGTGGAAATGGCTTTGGAGAGGAGGAAGAAGGGGAGGAAGAGGATTCTCCTGTCAAAAGACTTAATAAAGGTAAGCCATGGGGGAAAGGGGAGGAAAAACCTGCGACTCAAGATTTTAGAATGAGTGTAGATTTTTAAAGTTTGAATATTAGTTGACTGGCAATTTTTATTATAAAAATAGTGACCTTAAAAGCAGGTATACATTACTTATGTATTCATTCATTCATTCATTTTCATCCCTTTTATTATCCATTTCTGGGTCAGGGGGTGGCAATCAGAGCTGCCACCCAATTCACAAAGCACCAGTCCCTCACTAATCCTACTGCAGGTGGTGGTCCACAGGAGGATGGCTGCGTCTTTAACACAGATACGGCCTTGATCTTTCAGCGGGGGCTTCAGGCAAAGTGGGGTTAAGTGTCTTTCCCAGGGACACACCGATAGCAGACATCAGTGTGAGCAGATGAAATGGGTCGTGGATTCGAACGCACAATCTACCAACTGAGCCACTGTCGCCCCTATACTGAGAAATTTCAATATGTTGATAAATATTTGATGAAAAAAACTGCTTCAGAGTAGTGCTTGGTCAGTTATTTCTTTACTGACAGCTCCTGTACTGGTGAAACTCGGAAAATGTGAATATTGTTGAAACATGTTAAACTAATATACTGACAACCTTTTTATATTTAATGTTAATAATTGGCTCACTTTGAATAAATATGACCAAATATTACAACATTCAAAAAATAGAGAATATTTTGAAACTTAACGGTAAGCCATAGTCATCAAAATTGTAATAATCAAAGACTTTACATTATGTCTCTTTCCATTTAATTAGTCTATCATGTTTTAGTTTTACACTTTTTTTTTAAATTACATAAATAATTTACTAATTACAGAACTATAATCACGACTACTTTTGAGTCATAAGTATAATTTTGGAATTTCTGTACTGATCGAGAACATATATTAAACAACCCATTGCTGTATAACAATCAAAAAGTAAGTTTATTAATATAAACTACTAAAAATATGTACAATAGGTCTGGCATGCGCCTCCTGTTCGGCGACCCCGCTCCTGTCTCTGTGTGGAGTGAGAGACAAGTGCCCAAAAAATAACAATTGTAAACCGCTTTGTGACTCTGGTCTGTGAAAGGCGGTATATACATAAAGCTTACTTACTTACTTACTTACTTAATTAGGTAATTAATGCTTCAGAGCTCACCAATACCATAAACTGCTTCAGAGCTCACCAATACCATAAACTGCTTCAGAGCTCACCAATACCACATGGCAGAGCTCTGAAGCAGTCTGCCCTGAATGAGGAAACTACTAGACAAGAGTAAACAAAGACATATCTACTCTAGACATTAAACAAATGAAGTCATGATTGATATGTGTAGCTCAAGGTTGTCCTTTCCGCTGGCTCACGTCTGATACGACTCTGATACATAACAGTCTGTTTTGACCTGGAGCATGCTGTCTCCAATGTTGCATCTATCAGCTGACCTTACTGCCAACAGAACAACAGATAATAAGTACTGTATTTGAATCAAGTGGTGAGGATTAGGTAATACCTTGCTCTCATATATAAACACATATGAAGTATGTACTATTAATTCAGATGTCTATAAAAGTCATATTTCAATACAATACAATACAATTCATCTTATTCTTGTATAGCCCTAAATCACAACAGAAGTCATCTCAGAGGACTTAACAAAACCTTTGAAATCACCAACACAGATCAGAGAATCAACAGCTAATACACATGTTGATAAATGTCCATACATGTTGTAGAATGTTAAAGTGTCCTGGATCATCACCACAGTCCTTTTTGTTTGACACTAACTGCCCAACAGACCCTCCTGCATCGGCAAGGAAAAACTCCACACAAAAAACCCAGTGGGAAAAAAAAGTGAGAAACCTCAGTGAGACCCATTTTGAGAGTGGGATCCGCTCCTACACGGACGGCCGGGCTATAGATCCAGGACCTAAGCTACAGAACGAGGACCAAGGCCACGCAGCGGCGCAGAACGTGGACAGGTCTGGTGCAGGACTGAAACGGCTCCCAGGCGGGTCAGGCAGGGCAATCATCAGGTGTAGATGGAGGAGACCAGGTTCAGAGGTCCTGTCGTCGCACCATGGAACAGACAATGGGACAACGTGTGAATGAGTGTCATGTTTCTGTAACATTCATAAGAAATAGGAATCTGCGTTGCTATTGTTTGCATCAGAAACTGTAATGGAATTTTCAACCAGTAAATGAGTGTTTGTCATGGATGATAGACTTTCCTATAATGTTAACTTACAAACTTATGTTGAGGTCAAGTTTGATACTGGTTTGAACACCACAAAACAGACCTAAAAGTTCTCAGTTTTGGTGTGGAAAATGAAGTTGCTATAAAAGCGATCATGGCAACTTTGATCATCCATAACCATCCCCTAGTTCAGATTCAGGTTCAGACTACTTTATTTATCTCACAAGGGGCCATTCATGTGAGCAGCATAAAAACACATTTAAAAAACAAAATCACAGGAATGTCAAACATGTGAACTGGAGCTCATACAAACAGTTGAACACAAAACACAAAACACAAAAAACCATATCAGTGGCACTGGCAATACCTGTATGTGAAAGCCAGATCCCATCAGACCTCTGAAACTAAGCAGAGTAGGGCTTGGTTAGTACCGTGATGGGGAACACCAGGGGCCACAGTGGGGCGGCTACAGCTGTAAAGTGCCAAATTGTTGTTGTGTCCTTAGGCAAGACACTTCACCCACATTGCCTAGAATGAGTCTGGTGTGTGTGTGTGAATGGCTGGTGGTGGTCCGAGGGGCCGATGTCACATACTGGTTGCCTCGCTTCTGTCAGTGTGCCCCAGGGCAGCTGTGGCTACAGTATTAGTTTGTTGCCTCCGTGTATGGAGTGAATGAATAATAACATGTGAGGCATCTTTGAGTGTCCAAAAAAGCGCTATATAAAATGTAGAAAGTCAAAACTAAAAAAAACAGTCCATGTGGTTTCTGTAATGCGGAAAAAGGAGGAGCCGAAAACTGCCGTGGTGTGATACATTTACTCTTTAGGATTGTCAAGTGGCTTCCTGGAGACGAACCATCAGCAGCAGCGTGTAGATCCCAGCAGAACCAGTCGCCCTGTGGAGCCTCGCCGCCGCTGTGCCTCAGAGTCATCCATCTCCTCCTGCAGCAGTTTACCAGGAAGCACAAGGTAATAGTTACTCTTTTCTTTGCTACTGTGATATTTATGAAGATGAGAGGAATTGCAGACCACACCACTGAATGCAAACTGATCATTTATTATAATCAAATAAATGACCTATACAGTATATCATTTTATCTTGTATGTTGTTTTGCATTCAGCACGGTTCTCAGACTTCCAAAATGTGGAAAGGGAAAACCCGCCTTGGTCCGGAGACACACTGTGGATGACAAGAGTGAATTAATTGCCTGCATAGAAACTGGGAACTTTGCAAAAGCTGCACGTTTAGCTGCAGGTGTGTTGACATTCAAATACTTTTTTCTTAATGACATTTTGTTCTTTAAAAAGTTAATTTTTATGAAGTATTTCTGGTATTTGTATTCAAACCAGGAAAGCAAACTTATGTTTATTTTTTTTATTTTTTTTACCCAATTCTAATAAGCATTCTCTTCCTGGGGGTATGTTTTTTGTGTGGCCCAGACCTTTGCATGTTCCTTGGTTACCAGCACCAAACATCTGGGTAAACTCTGCATGCGTCAGGCAAAATAATATGAAATGCTCATTTCTGTTGGGGTTAAAGTAATAGGGGCTAAATATCATTGTGGAGAACATTTAAAAATGGTGTATAAAAAGTATCAGTATAAAAAGTGAGAAAAGATGAGGCTACTGAGAAGTGCAGGTCAGTATCCATAAGCCCCAATCCCAATTGTCTCAGGAATGCTGGAATCTCATCAAATGTTAAATGAAAAATCAGAAATCAGAAAATTACAGTACATTGGCCGTATCGCTGAATGGGAGTTAAAATCACAAAAGTAGCGCCTTAAAGTCTGTCTATTACGGTACCTCACTATAGCCATTTTTCTCCACACCAGTCTCTGTGTGTTTTCCTTATTTGATATTTGATCCAAAACAAACTATTGTATTTGTTTTTTTTCACCAGTACGTTCTTTTTCTAACCCTGACTATGCTGTGTTTCTGCTCTCACTGCATGGCTTTTGGAGGTGTCCCTGTTTATCTGTGTGTTGTTTAAACTCACACTTGTCTGGTGTTCCTGCGTCTATAGAGGTTGGCAACAGCAATATTTGGATGCCTGCTAGCGCTGCAACAGTTGCACTGGAACCCCTAAAGCTAGTTTGGGCCAAATGTAGTGGATACCCCTCCTACCCTGCCCTGGTGAGTGTTTGTGGGAGCACATGCATGACATTTAGTGAATCATCTCTTTCTCAGGAGACTTTCCATCACTTCACACTGAGACACTTTGGAACATAAACATGACCTTCATCTAGTGCCATGATGTTTACCTTCCAAAGTGTAATTCATTCAACAATCCTCCAGGTGGCAGCATATCACCTTGTCACCCAACTGGTGCTGTGTAAAGAGATTATGATAAAACAAAATATAGATGGATAACATAGATTTTATACCCATCCCAACTATTTTAAAGGGTAAGAAATTTAATACAATTACTGTACATTTGAGAAAGCCAAATCAAGGCCAAAAGCAAGGGTTCTCCAAAGCTCCAATTCCCAGATTATTATTATCTTTAGTATATGATGTGAGCCAATGGAATTTCTTCTGTGGACTCAGATCAAAACTCCCCCGTGTCACTTTGTGCTTTCAGAGCGCTGCATAAACCAGGCATGTGGGAAATTTAAACAAAAGCGGTGCCAAGGAAAATATTTCGTGTCATTATAGTCATTATAAAAGATCTATGTTGACACTGAGATATTTGCGAGCGCATTACGGTACAAGAACATGCTTTGTGGCCCAAACAAAATCGTTGCAGTCTGGATTTGGATTGGAGTTCAGAGTTTGAGTAACCCTGGCCTAAAGGCTTTCAATTCAATGGTACGATGTGTAGCATTAAAATGTTGTCAATTTTTTTTTTTTATTTTAAAAAAGACCAATAAAGTCTGGTAAATTTGCAAAATTAATGCATCTCCCGCTTTTCTAGTATAGTGTATCAAAAGTATTTTCATTTAATGGCAGTGCCTAAAATACCAAATGTGGAGCTACCCTGTATATCTCTGTGTTCCTCATGCATAGCAGCTGCAGAATGTATTTCAATTTGATCTACTTTTTAAATTGTTGTTGCCGTTGATGCTATTTGTAACACTAGTTAAATGCTCAGAACCTCCATGATCGATACACATCTGGGCATGTTTGCGGGAGCTGTAAAAATCTAATTTCCATATTATGTCTTCGTGAAGTACTCATTATTGTAGCACCCGTTAATACAAAACATTAATAATCTTAATTGTGTATTTATGTCTCACAACTTTGTCTTCCCTGCTGCTCAGATCATCGACCCCCACATGCCTCGCTGCCAGCTCAACAGGGCGTCCGTCCCACAACCTCCCACTGATGTGCTGCGGATCGGGGAGCAGATGCAGTACAAGGCCGTAGAGAAACTCTACCTCGTGCTCTTTTTTGACAACAAGCGCAGCTGGTGAGTGCTGCATGTGCCAGGAGGGATTCAGGGCCAGGACACCGGTGTGTCGAGGCCAGTCTCAGCCTGTCCATTAGCCAACCAATACTCTCCACTGTAATGGCCAAGTGGTAACTGATTACTTGTATTTGATCCAATCCAGCTACATTTGTACAAAGGTACATTGATAACAATATTTCAATAATTTCCATCCATTCCTTTTCAATCAATCAATCTTTATTGTAAAGCACATTTAAAACTAAACTGAAAAAAACTGCATCAATATTAAAAACTAACTATGTCTTTCCCCGTCTCCTTTAGTCTTCAGCCTGGTCCTCGTATAAATAGAAATAAATTCTTGGGTTTCATATGACGTCAGGGCAGTGGCGTGAATAACAAACGTAGGACAGGACGTGACGTATCCTGGCGGTGCAGTCTTCCGTGAGATATCGTAGAAGCTGTCAAAATGCCATCTTTTTGTGCGGTGTACGCTTGTAGCAACCGCGCAAATAGAGAGAAAGACAAGAGTTTCTTCCGTGTTCCAACTGTGGTCTCATATAAAGGAGTACACTTTGAAAAAAATCACTTGAATGAGGAGGGCGAGGTGGATCAAGGCTTTCCCAGAGAAGCGTCCCCTGCAGGCCACCCAAATAAAACGCAGCAATTTCTTCTGTTTTTCTTTCCAAAAATGCTCAAAATCAAGACTCTTTTGAGAAATATTTTTTTGTACTCCCTTAGAATTGAGTGTCCCCGATTAAGACTGTTACAACAACCGTACACCGCACAGGATGAGAGCCTTTTGACTCGAAAACAGACACGATTTACATGGTTTTCAATGAAAGCAAAACTGAGTTGTCCCACCTCTGCTCATTCGCCCCCTACTGGCCAGTTTAATGAAACCCAAGAAAATGAATCACAAAGATAAATACAATTTTATTAAGACTTAAAAAAATAATAAAATAAATTCGTCCACTTTATCCAGTTGCATGTCGCATAGGCTGCATTAGCAGAGATTTCCCGATCCCTCTCAATTGTTCAATATTTTTGAAATGCTAAACTTGTGTTATCACGTATTATAAACTTGTATTATCACGTGTGTGATGCAGGCCCCTCTGACATGTACAAATCTCCTTTATTTTCACTCGGACTGAAGCGCTGAAATAATGATCAGTGTGTTAACTTTTGGATTTCTGCATGGATATAATACTGAACCAAGAATGAAGGAAGATGGGGACTTTGCTTGAATTGGATAAACCAAATACTTTAGCTTTTTAAGTGCACATAAATGTAGAAAAAAGTTCAATGGCTCGGGCTGTGTATGACATCTGAAAACCCCTGATCTTGGAGAGAGGGATATCTGGACCCGAAATATGGTAACTTGTAAGCAAATTATAGATTCCCCATGAAATCAAGATTTTATTCAAAATATGAATTTAGTATGATTGTTCAATCATGGATGATTTACTCCTCTTTTAAAAAAAAACACTTGAAATACAGATTTTTGAACGGAGTACCAGTTATTGTTGTTTTATTTTTGTTTGCATCGCACCTGAAAAGGATTTTGGACACTCAAAGATGTTTTACATTTCCTTTTTCATTCCCTCTTAACCACTACTGCGGCCAAAGCTGCTGTGGGGCAGACTGACTGAGGCGAGGCTGCCAATCTCCCTCTATCCACCAAATATTCACAGTTTTGATGGGGGTGATGTGTCTTGCCCACTGTTGCTGTGTTGTTTTATGTAGTGCTTGTTATTTTTCTCATTTTTCACCTATACTGAGGATAAGTAAGTGACACACACCAGAAGACTTTCTGAGCTGCAGATGCAGGACAATATTCTGCTAAGTTAAAGAAAGAATCATACTCTCTTTTCTCTATGAGACGTTTCTGCCACAATGACTTCATCACAGACTTTCACTTTCAGAACAGTGCAGAGAGGAAAGTTAAGTATTTATCATCATTTATCATCTTGTGTCATTAACCTTCTCTAGACCAGGCTTTTTTGGGCTTTCTGGGCCCAGGGGGGGCTCGCCTCTTTCAACCGCTCACAACTGAAGAACGGTATATCCTATGACCACCAAATTTTCAGCGGACGATCTTTATGCAAAACTGTACAATTATTTTGAAATAATTTTGATTTTATTTTTTTATTGTTACACCTTTCAGAAAACCGTTGCCAGGGATACTGAAAAAATGCTGGACTTAAGCTTTTGTTAAAAAATTGTAGCAAACTAAATTTTAGGAAAAGTCACCAAGTTTCATAGTTCTAGCAATAGTTGTTAAGATATTAGACCACGTGAAAGTTAGCACGGTCACTTTTAGCCCCTCCCTGGTCTAGATAGGGTTGAGGTTCTTCAAACACAATACTTATTCTATCCTCGGAACAATTACCTTTGGTCACAGCACAGTGGGAGCTGGACACTGCATGTGTCCTTTGACCTTGAAGGGTTCTTCTTATTAAAAATCACTTCTTTGACAGTAGTGGGGGGGAATCCTCTTTGGTGATGATATTGTTTTCTCGCTGCAGGCAATGGCTTCCCAGATCCAAGATGGTCCCCCTGGGGATAGACAAGACCATAGACAAGATCAAAATGATGGAAGGTCGCACGTCGAGCATTCGTAAAGCTGTCCAGATCGCCTTCAGCCGTGCCATGAATCACCTGAGCATTGTACAGGACGAGCCAGTCAGCGACCTCAGTGACTTGGACTGATGTCCCGAATCAGTACCTCATCTTTTACTAGATATGTTTATGTCACTTCCTACAGCTGTATGAAAATAGGACCAGTTCAGTACCTGCTGTTATCAAGTTTAGGTGTAATAGCATGAAACTGAACAATTGGTTCTATTAAGGAGTTGTTCCCAAAGCCGGACTAAAGTGTGGCTGAATTATTTGACATTCCAGTTGTTTTTTATTTCCGAAAAACCTCTTTTGTAGCTATGTGCTCTAACTATCAGAGAGTGCTGTATTGCAATTCTTCCAAACCTTAAGCTTAATACCACTCTCGTAGTAAGGCTTGGATGTTTGTGAGGTGTCCAAACCCTGTTGAGTAAAATAGAATAGAACTTTATTGTCTGTTCAAATTGAGCAAAGATTTGTCTTTCTCAATTTGAACAGACAATAAATCCTCACAAAAGATTCACACTAAACTACAAATGACAAATGTAAAGCTTTGGGAAGTGTTTTCTTACACAGGCTAAGAATGGCTCGGAGAAACTTCGGAGACTCACATGTTTACTGAAAAAGAGTCGAACCCATGGTCTCTCTCTTCTTCATCTTACTTCCATGAACACTCCTTACCGTTGCAAACATGGCTGCTGCTGAAATGAATGTGTCTTTCTCAGAAAAGCCGGGCTTGTTACTGTGCTTCAACCATACACTCAAGGGCATTATGCTACTAACTCATACATCACATGCATCTACAGAAGAATGTGTAAACTCTAAATGATCATATTGACAGGTAAATATGAATAAGGCCTGAGCGCCACAAGGCTTTTTATATTTGTATTACTATTATTTTACATATCAAAACATTCAATACTTGAAATTATTTACCCTGTTCCAGAAACATTTTGTCACATTATTCCATATTTTTTTATGCTTAAACATGATGTACTGATTTTTGATTGAAAAAAAAGATTTACCTGAAGGTTTTGGCTCACACTTGAAGTTGTTTTCATTCTTTCTACATGAACTGTAAATAATGTACACAGTGGCCTAACATCACCTTATTTTAGAGTTTTGACTGATTTGGGTATTGTACACTTATTTCTTTTTGTATTTATACGGAATGCTTTTTGGCATTAAAGTTACGTGGAATTTTGTATTAGATTAATTATGTTCTAAAGAAAAGTCCTTACAAGGGCTACGACATTGTGAAGCTGCGATGTGTGTGCATTTTTATTTATTGATGTTTATTGTCTCTCATTTGACTTAACTTCATTTTATACTTAAGTGTGTATTTATTTTGAATATATTTAATTTGTTTTTTGAGTGCATCCTGTTATAGACACAGGACATATTATTGTCATGGAACCAAAAAGTTTGCAATGAAATATGGTTTATGTTTTGTGTGTGAAACTATTGCCAAAAATGAAAAGGTGTTTGGACATTTGACTGTTAATTGGTTTGCGATGGCATTTGGAGGATGTGCCTGTGTTGTTTTTGTATAGCTGTATTAGTTTTTCCATTGCTTTATTCTACAGAATAACACAATGGCAATATTGCCTTGTTCTTTTGCATCATTCCATACATTGTTGCTGTAAATATTTATTTTATATAATTTTGTAATCTATTTTGGGTATTCTCGACTAGTTTTGAAAGGTCTCTTGAAACGTCTCATTTTGTAACTATGACCATGCGATTGTTGAATTACATTGGTCATTTTTTTTAGAAAATTAAACTGAGTCCGATGTAAACTTTGTTCAATCTATTTCTAACAATGTATATTGAAAAGATATTCAAAATTTGTGGAGCAATACTAAAGTGTTCCAACTATCAGTAATCACAGATTTTACTGGTTTGTTGTGGGTATACTGTAGGTAGTTAGGATATGTTACAAGATTCAAAAAATGTTATGGAAATGCAACAGACTATGGAGGTGGGTGGGCCAGTGGTTCTCCAATCACAGACCAGGGATCCAGAATAGGGGACATGGGCTGCAGCGGCTGCCAGTGACATGGTGCTGTCGTTCACCTGCACTGTGGAATAAAGATGTGTATTATAGAGGACATGAATAATGCTGAACACACAGATGCTCAAACGTCTCTTAATGAGAGTATGTAACTCTGGAACATGGTGAAGTGAGGAAGACACACAGGAATCACAATTGTGTGCATTCATTTGATCAGTGGTTCAAATGAGTTTGAGACCCATGTTACATCTGTGAAGCAGCATGACGTATGGGCTTATCTTTATGTTCAACTCCTGCTTATAAATAGGGTAAGACTTTTACTTTTCAAAATAAAACAATAGTCAATATATAAAGCATACTTTGCACAATTACATTCCAATTTAGCGGGATGTTGTGATCACATTACAGGAGAATGTTACCGCAACTGTGTAGCTTAATAAACTGGTACAAAACTGCCAATGTAATACTTTATTACACAAATTCACTTGGAAAATCTGAGAAGGATCTTTAAAGAAAATATGTGACACATATTTTGCCATATAGAGATTTGACAAATTAGGGACATTATTTCAAATTAACTTAACCTTTGCATGGAGCAAATCAAGTAAAAATGTAGCTAGCCTCTATGGTATAAAAAAGTGGTGCCACAATCTGCTGACCATTAAAACACATAGAGGGGAGATCGGATTCTTATAAATATAAAATCGTCAGACACGGATGATATGACCACACCATGATGCGCGGGTATCTCAAACATGTAATTCTGTTTTCACCCACGGCGAGGCGCTGTGGCTCTTTCTATCCTGCTGGACGTGTTCTCCAGCCGCTGTCTCTGCTGTCCTCCGTGGGCCCGGGACGGTCCGTTCACCATCTCCGTGTTCAAATGTTGAAAATACAATCTAAAACAGATTAAGTGATATGTGTTTCATTCTGATAAATAGTTGTGTTTGTTTTGATGGCCTAAACGTAGACATCTGAGCCAAGATTAACTGCTATAAACGAATACAGAAAGGGTAGATTTCCCAAACAACGACTCCCACAAATGTAGGCCATCATGTGAGATGGATGTGGATTCAGAAAATGGAAAGGTTTTTATTATTAAAGATACACATTCAGAAGTTATAACTTATAAACAATCATTTCAGTCCTGGAAATAAGGGATGGTTAGGTGTTAGTTTCTCTGAGTGGAGATACTCTTGAACCTACATTTGCCCAATGTACAGGAGCAGCACACAATACCCTCAGCATACAACAACCTTAGACCTGCAGTGGCCCCCTCGTTGGCCCTGTGGGTTTATAAAGAGGCTATGCAAGGAGCCCCTCCAAGTCCTGCATCTGCACAATTAAAAATAGAGACGGCAGGGTTGTGACTGATCCACAAAAAACATTCGGGATTATTTTTCCAGTTTGACACCTGTGACAGCGCCATTCTAGGACCAGCTTGCATTCAACACTAATTCCTAAACACTAAATAGCGAAGACAGTGGAGGTCACAAATTATTTTGTGTGTGAAACCTTCAAACATGTTTCCAATTATGTAAATTTGAATCAAATTTTTTAGCAACATTATGTACATTAAGCTTCTTTAAGATGACCAATGTCCACATATGTTGATGCGTCCATAAATGTTGTTGAATGTGGATCCTGGATCATTACTGTCCTTAAACCCTCCTGCATCTGCAAGGAACATCTACGATATCGATATTTGAATATAATGTGTGTGATTGTATCCACTATTTGTATTCTTAGTAAGTCGTAGTGACAGAAGAGGCAGAGGAATGAATGAACAGTCAGTGTCCTGGAAATGATGGTTGTGGACATGAGACCTTGGAGGAGATTACAAGTTTCACTCTGACAACACATTGCCATCAATAACCCACGTCACAGTGTATAGAACAAAAATACATACACAAACACTGAAAAATTTAAAAACTGACATTCTTAACTGATGAATGGACAAGTATGGCCACTTAAGCTCACCTTGGTGTCACCATTCATTTTGTTAATCATGAATGGGGGCTTACCTCAATTAACTTGACGACAATGCCCATCCAGGAAAAACACACTGCACACAATATTTCCTTTTGAGTTGAGGATGATGACAGTTTGAGGTAAACATAAGAGTAAGTTTATTAAATAGAAATTCATCTTCATCTTAGGCTATCCACCCATGCTGCATCAACCAAAGACTGCATAGTGTATTTAAGGAGTGGACTGCTCCAGTGCTGGTGTGACCATAGGCTGTATGTTATAGCCTATGGTCTATGGTGTAGGGAGACCAAAGGGGGCTCTATGGAAACTCCCTCCTTAACCTGCCCTATGTAAAGTCCAGGATCAACACCGCGCCCTCATGGTCTGTCCTTCATAACCATAAAGGCGCCAACAATTGTCCTCCCATTGAAAGACAAGCGTCGATCCCCGTGGATATGGCACTTGATCAATGCTTCAGACCTTCGTTTTGCCAGTATCAAAGGGGCTAACCTGACGCTAACCCCCGCTGGGTAGAGTTGGTATGCAATCACCTCCTTTTGAGAGGAAGACAGGGTTAAGCAGGGAACTGTATTTATTGGTATTAAACTTAATGTTTTGTGAATGATGTTATTTAAAGCCTGTAAATGTAAGACACGGTCATGTATCCATCTACATTGTAATCATCCATCCATCCATCCATTTTCTTCCCCTTAATCCATTTCTGGGTCGGGGGGGTGGCAGTCAGAGCTGCACCCAGTACACAGAGCACCAATGACACAGACAACATTGTAATCAGTTTAAATGAATATAACACCAGCCTGCCCAGGGACTACAGGTGGAAATTAGCATCTTTGCTATAACCTGGCACATGCATCTCTCCTTTGTGTTGATGTTTAATTGTACACTGTCCCTGTTCAAATAAAGTACATATCATACCATACCATGCCATACCATACCAGTAGAGGCAGACTGCTGTTGTGGCACCGGCACCTGCTGCAGCTGGTCAGTGGCATGTACATAACAAACAGTGTTTAAAGCGGCATGTGGACAACAAATGCAGTTTACAACAAACAGCAGGAGTGTTATGTGGTACAGTAGCTCAGATGGA